ACAGAAACATCCAACAAAGCAGAAACAGCCTGGAGAGGGAGAAATTAGCCACCTACACCTTAAACAGATTAGCTAATATCTAGAATGTATAAAGAACTAAAAAAATACTCCCCCAAATAAAAGGCCCAAACACAAAATGAGCAACAGAATGAATAGACACTTCACAGCAGTGCAAATGACCAAGAAATTCATGAAGAAATGTTCAACGTCAAGGCCGATAGAGCAATGAAAATTAAAACAACACTGAGATTCCATCTTATTCCAGAAAGAATGGCTATCATAAAGAAATCAAAGAATAAAAAATGCTGGTGAGGCTGTGGGGGAAAAGGAACACTTTTACATTTTTGTTGGCTGGAATGTGCACTAGAACCACCACTATGGAAACCAGTATGAAGATTTGTCCAAAAATTAAACTATAAATTCTTTGTGACCCAGCCATTCCCTTTCCTGATATGTTCCCTAAAGAGTTAAAAAACAATATGTCATGATATATGCATACCAGAGTTTATTACAACAAAATTCACAATGGCTAAATCTTGGAATCAGCATATATCCCCAACCACAAATGAATGGATAAACAAGATGTGCTTTTACAAATAATGGAAGAGTAATCATCCATGAAGAAAAATTTAGTCATTTTTTTAGGTAAACAATGACGCACCCTGAGGCCATAACGTTAAGTGGAACAAATCACGTGCACAAGCTTCAATATTACACGGTTTCTTTTATAGGAGAAACCCGAAATGTACATGTAGAGCAAAAGAAGTGTCAGGGCAGAGGAGGTAGCAAAATAGGTCTTTTCAAGTAGCAGTGAGATCAAGAAATGGAGGACAGAGGGAAGAGGAAGGGAATGAAAAAAGAATCAGTTAAGTGATAAATGCAAGCACTTGCTCACTACAAGGAATGTAAACATCAGTACTGCCAATCTCTACTAAAAATGAAACGTCAGAAAATGTGCTCCAACATCATTTGAATGTATGCATCATGAAAGGTGTTTTTATCAGAACTGGTATACTTAGCTCAAATCACACTTTATTGCATACTATCCAGATGTTCTTGAACAAATTTCTCAGCCTTTGTAATTTTATATTTCTATTGTTCAAGGGCTTGCAAATGGAGGACTTCAGAAATTTCAGCTGGCTCTCCTCAACCCATGCTTTTTTTCTGCAGTGTCTGATAGTACACTATTCTTATTACCATGATCACAGGATCCCTAAAGAAGAGGAATGCCACACCACAAGGAATCTTCAAGATAGCTGGTACAAATTCCTAAATGCTATGTGAAGATCAGATGGAAGGCAGATGTCTGAGGTCTGGTGTCCTGGCCCTGGAATCAAAACAACTTGAGGGAGAGAAGGAGGAAGGACATGGGTCCCTGGGACCCAGGAAGGATCCAAAGAAGAACTGAAGCTGAAGGGAGAGTAAAGAGAGGGTCTGCAACAAACAAGAAGGAGGTGGCAGGCTGTGCCTCCTCCCTGAGCCCTGATTTACTGTGTGGAAAGGCCAACTCAAACCTACACATGAAGCATGGCTACCGGCCACCCAACAAACCTGCACAAAGAAATGCAGTGGTGGGCACAGTCATCTTCAGGGGTTGGTGAATTGTTGGGGTTTGGATGTCCCCCAGGAGAGAGCAATCAACAGGTAGCCATCTTGGAGAGGGGCCAACTGAGCTCAGAACTCAGAACAGCTGCTGGCTGGCTCCATCTAATGGCTGTCAGTGTCAGTGTGGGAGTTCAAGCCAGCAGGTCAGGGAGCTCAGTTCAAGCAGGCAGGGAGCCGAGCTGGAGCTAGTAGAAGGGGTGCATAAACTGTTCAAGGTTGCACAGGTCCAGTTCCAGCCTCACAGCCAGAAACCAGCCTGAACTTCACTGGAACCATAGGTGCAGGCTTGCTGGGATTATCCACTACCCCACCATAACCTAAGCCTGGCTTGCTGAGATTAATCAACTTGGATCTGTACTCTGCCCACATTGTCTACCAGTGAAAACAGAGTCAGGCCTTGAAGTGGACATTGTTTTTATCTTATTCCCTTTTTCTTTTTTAAAAAAATCTCTCTTTTCTTGTGTGTTTTTTTTTTTCCTTAACGGTTTGTTCTCATTTCTCTTTGCATGTAAACACAGTTTCTAGGTTTTTTGGTGGTTGTGGTTTCCTGTTCTTGTTTTTATTTCTTCTCTTTTTCCCTCCTGTCCTATTCACCAGTTTTCCAAAGTTGGTGTGATCTTCCTTTGTCCTCTAGCCTTGCATCTAGTCACTTCGTCTTTTTCTATTTCTCCACTTTTTTCTCTCTAACTCCTTTAAAATTTTCTCTCCTGAGGGTAAAATCCCTATATTGAGGGCTTATTTACTGCAACCCATTTTCTGGTTAATTTTAGATTTCATTGTATAACCAGAAATCTAGTTCATAGAGTTAAAGGTGGCAAATTAGCAGTTACCACAGTTTGTCCTTTTCTAGGCTGTGTTCAATGTTATTGTTATTGCTGATTGTATTACTTTAGCCAAAGGGACATAATTTGTTCTAATCAGTTGTTCTTCCTGATATACCAAGAATAATATTGACTAAGAGTCAAAAAAATACTATATGTCAGTGCCAAAGCTAGGGGAGCTAGGCCAAGTTCCCTAGTGAGGGACTAGGCCAAGTAGGCAGCAACTTCTAATCCCTGAAATTGAAGAAGGAGGATCTTTTTTTTTGTACCAGGGATTGAACTTGGGTCCTTGTGCTTTCGAGGCAGGTGGCAGAACCACTGAGCTAAATCCCTGGCTGAAGAGGTAGGATCTTGCAAAAGACTCAAACCCCAAAGCCCAGGTAACCTGGAAAACACCTCTGAGAGGAAGTCATTTCTGAAAGTTTCCAAATACCAGCAAGAAAGCTACTCACCATAAGCAATTTACAAGCATCAGGTCTGCCCAGATACCACTGCTAAGTGTGTGCAGGCCTCAGCCAGCAGTCTGTGTGGGACAAGAGTGGCATGGGTATGCAGGCCCAAACCAGGGCCCTGCACAGACACCAGGGATTTAGGGATACAGGCCCCAGCCAAAGGCCCTCCCAAACAACAGCTATGCAGGTGGGGAGGCCCCAGCCAGAAGCATGTCAAAGACCATCCTAAGTGTGCACAGGCCTCAGCCACACTCCCACTCCCCAGCAAACAGTACACCACAGGGATCCAGAAGGGTACCATTCACAACCCAGGAATTGGTGCACTGGTGAGCAGGAGAGAAAAGGCCTCTGTGTGGTCTCCTGAGAAGTGAAGCCCATTGGGTGCACAAAAAGTTGCCTCAACAAAGACACAGCAGCCTGCATCTCTTGAAATGAGAAGAAACATACCAGACTTCCAGATCACCTAAGGCAATCCCAAAGGGCAACAAGATGGAACAAGCCAATACTCAACTATCTGGACTCCCTCAACTAGCAACCAAAGAGCATCTGGAAATAATGAAATCAGAAATAATTTCTCAGATCCCAACACAGATTGTGTCCACAGTGCAAGACATGATTAATAACTCTAGAGCAAAAATAAAAAAAATAGAAGATCTGAGGAACAGGATGGAATTCCAGCATAGGAAACAAATGGTATCCATGAAACAAATGCAAACAGTATCCAGGTTAACAACTCCATTCAAAGTTTATGCAGCAGAATGAAAGGATTGCAACTGGTGACCAGGAAAAGAAAGATTTCTTAAAAATAGTAAGAGACCATGAACAATCAAGCCAGCAGGTGCTAGATGATGCAAAGTAGAATAACATAAGACAGATCAGAGTCAATGAAGAAACAGGAGAGAGTACAAATGACATTAAAAAGTGCTCACAGAAGTCATGGCAGAAATCTTCCCAAGAAGGGGAAAAGTATTTCACATATGGATGAGTGACACACTTAGGAGTCCAACTAGCCATGGAGAACTATTTCTCAGCCATAAAGAAGGAAAAACTAGAGACACTTACAGCTAAGTGGATGCACATTGAGGCCATACTCTTAAGTGAAATAAATAGGACCCAACGTGCAAATACCAAATAGTTTCTCTGGTGTGAATGACTAAAAGTGTAAATAAGGTTCAAATGGTATAACTGATAATGTGAAATAGGAAGAAAAGGTCTAAAGGAGTTGGAGAATTGGGAAGGGTAGTGGAAAGGAAAAAAGGGAAAAGAAAAAAAAAGGAGAAGAGGAAAAAAAGGAAACAAAGTCTCTAAATAGGGAAGGGTGGAGGGGGTGAAAGGATGTCAGGGAAATGGGGAAAAAAATAAGAACTAAGATACAGCATGCAAAGGCACAAGATCCCCAACAAGGACTGTAAGTGTATTTTATAACTAAAATGTACCAAGAAACTTAATGAAAAAAAGATACAGGGGTTTCTTTTCTACAATGGAGCATTTATCAGCCACAAAAAAGGATAAACATGAGAGGCCTGATGTAACTTGAGAAAACAGTCCTTATTGAAATTAAACAAACACACATTTTAAAATACTGTGTTTCCCTGGTGTGAGAAAGCAAAAGGGTAAGAGAGGTGCAAAATGTATAAGGGATATTAGGAAGTGGAAAGAAAATGTCCAAATAGAAAAGAGAACCAGGGAGGTGGGAGGGGGAAATTAAATAAGGGACAAGGAAAAAACAATTGAAAGAAAATATAGAAGTAAAGCTTGTGTAACTAAGGAGGGGAAGAAGAGTTAAAGAGAGGGTAGAGGACTGGGGAAAAGGGAATCAATACACATTATGTAGAGAGCCATATTCCCCAGCATGACTATGATTAGTATGTCTATATAAAATGTACCAATAATATTGTTTTCAAAGCTCCATAATTGTAAAAAAACTTCTGGAATATACATGAAACAACAGTAGATTTTTCTGCCAAAACAAAAATAAAAATAAAGGAAGGAGACACAGGGTCTTCTTCTCGGAGGGAGAGACTCCTCTTATGGACCCCAGCATATGACCTCACTTCCTTGGTGACAGGTTCCAACAGAACTTGGAACCCTGGAGTCACCGGGCACCACAGTCTCACCAAGGTTGCCTAACAGTCCCTTGGCTGGAGAGAGTCAGCAGTGAACATGCTGTGCTGCTGTCCCAGGGCTCCAGGCTGCAGCCTCAGGACCCCACAGAGGGAAAGCACTTGGGAACAAGTGAGAGGTTGGCTAAGTCTAGATGCTACAGGCCACGCACCAGGAACCACCCAGTGCTCATGGGCAGCATAGGGCAGGTCTCACCACATCCAGAGACCTCGGGGCCTGAGATGAGAGGGAGCCCAGGGCAGGTCTCCCTGGGCCTGGCCACCAGGCACTCTGAGCAACCGAGTCCAGGGCAAGAACATTTAGGCCTGCCCACCACTGTGAGTCCCCTGCACCACTCCCACCCTAGGTCTTCACTCTCTGTGTGGGGGGTGGGAGGACAGGGTCAGGAGAGAAGTTCCTCCTGGGCTGGAGTGGGTGCTGGGAGGCTGTGAGCCCAGGGTCCTGTCACATCGCACCCATGACAGGGCTGGCAGGAGAAGGCCACTGCCCAGGGATGATCCACAGCCTCCGGAGCCATCTCCTGTGCTCCTGGGTTTGAAGCCTCTGACAGAGCTGTTTGCGTTTGGGGAGCACAAGGTTACCTGGGGCAAAAACACCACATTCTGCCTGCCAGCTGTGGCACATTGTCCCATCAGAGGTGCACATCGGAGATCAGGACATTGGGCTGGAGCTGTCACTGGGGCTTGTGTGCCATGTGCCTATGACAGACACTGGGCCAAGATAACAACAGGTGCCAGCTCAGGCACAGGGTGTGTGTTTGTGTGTGTGTGTGTATGTGTGTGTGTGAGAGAGAGCGGGGGGACTCTGTTCTGAGGTCACACTGGGACAGAGAGGCCCCTTGGGGACAGAAAACACCTTCACCTCTTCCCTGTAGGGCTTGCTAAGAGTGGGCCAGGGTCCTGCTCCCAAAGGTGTCCAGGTCCCATGTCACCAAGATCCACATCCTCTCTTCTCAGCCTCCACCTTGGCCAGGGGCAAGGTCACCACCCACAGGCTGGACACCCAAGAACGGGACTTGGACAAGGTGTCACTTCAATCCTGCCATGAATTCATTCGGCCATTTCACCTCACTGTAACTCCTGGCCCAGGCATCCATCCTCATCTCTACCTGGGAGGGGCCTCAGGACCCATGGGATGTTGCTCTTAATACACAGAGGTACACACAACCTCTCCTCAGCTAACAAACTGGCCGGAAATGCTAGTATTTCTAGGTGTCTCTTCTGAAATTGAACTCTAATATAAGGATCTTCCTGTGCCCTCCTAGTAGGAGCCACCATGGGCAATTCAGAGTTTGATCAAGGCTTTATCCTCTATCCCTCCTGCTGAGTCATGAGTGGGACGCCAATTCCATGTCTCCCCACTGTTCCCTCACAGACTGGAAATCAGGGGGCTCAGAGCCTGGCAGAGGTGTGCACAGTGAGGACAGCACAGAAAGGCATGCCCGACACCCTGAGGGAAGCCCCGGGGCAGGCCTTCCTGGGCAGCTGGCCCATCAACGGGCCCTCCTTCCCAGACCCCAGAAGGGCTTGCATTTCCTCCCCACAGGAGGGGATAGTGGGAAGGTGAGTTCTGCTCTCAGCAGCACGGTGGACTTGGCCACCATGGCTCCAAGTCTTGGGAAGGGGCAAGTCCCTCTCAGTCTCACTTGCAACTCTGAGCCATGGTGTTCTGAGAAAATGAAGCTCACATTGTGATTACTGGATGGAATGGGGTTGATCATGGCCTTCCTCCCAAGGAAGATCAGCTAAGGCAGCCCTGCTGATTCTCATAGATGATCTTCCATCCCCTCTACAAAGCTGTGTATCCCCCTGACTGAGCCCTGCACTTAGGGATAATTGTGCTGGTCAGTGTAAAGATTGCATAATCATTCTATTGGCTTCACAGTGTTCCCAGAGCAGGAAACCTTGGGGTGTGCAAAGGCCCCAGGCCACGCAGACATCATAGAAGAGCAGGTGCCTCATCACTTTACCAACATACATGAAGACAAACTCTGTGCAGACACTTTTCCAGGTATAGATCATGAACCAATAACCACAGCAAATACAATCACTGCACTCTCGAGTTTCGGTGATATTTGGTGTCTACACAGTGACAATCAGAGCAGGTATTACTCAAATTACAGTAGATGAAGCCCCTCCTTTCCTCCCTTGATGTGGATTCACAGCAGTGCAAAGAAGTCCAGAGGCGGCACAGACACCAGGCAACATAGCACTACATACCATAAAGCCTCAGGAGAGGCAGGGCAGCACAGACGCCTACTGTCCCTCACTTCTCAGATAGTTATGGAGCAGCAGCCCTGTGCCCTTGAGTACAATCACACACCAGAAACCAGACTCTGTCCTCATGGAGCTGACAGTGGGGACAGGCAGGGAGACACTGTATCCAGCTGCCCTGAAGAAGACAGGAGGTCACACCCCTGAACAAAGACTCTCTCACTGAGCCTTCTGTCAGGCACTCAGGGCTGCTTGGGCCAGGATTGCTCTACTGGGGGTGGGAGAGGATGGGGCTGGAGCATGCACAGACTGGGCAGGAGGCTCACTGGTCTTTCCCTGCGTGTTTGCTGGGCACGTAGTGTGGGAGGAATGGCCAGACCTCTCACTCTGCCTCCCACCTGCCTTGTCCAGATCTATGTCCTCTGTCCTTGACTCCTTGCTGGAGCTGTGCTCCCAGGTGCATCACACTGCCAAACTTGTCCTGGCCCAGCTGGAGCATGCCTAGCCCACTGAGGCAGAGCCCAAGGGCAAGGAGGGCTGTGGCATGAGGCTGTGAGCATGTGGGGAGTCATGGGCCTTTGGACACAGAGAGAGCGTTCTGGTACTGGGTGTCCTAGTAACCTTGTGACATTCAGTAGTCAGAGGGCTGCTGTCTGGGGGGAATTTCTGGGGGAGGCTTCCTGCACAGAGCTGACAGGCAGCGGGATGGTTATGCCCCAGGAAGAAACATGGACCGTTGGTGAACTTTTCTTCTCTTTCAACTCCAAGAGCAGCTCCAGTCAAAGCTGAAGTCCCAGCTGCAGAGCCTGTGCCAGCTCCACCTGCAGCTCCCTTCCCAGCTCTGGCACCACAGCCAGAGGGAGCACCAGGAACCCCTTCTCCTCCAGCTGCATAACTGGGGGTCCTGGTGGCTCCTCAGCAAGTGTCACCTCCTGACCTCCCCCTGGGGCCAGGTCCTGCCCCACACCTGCCACGCCCCTCTATTACTGCTGCTCATGTTTTCTTCTTTACTTTTCCACTTATTTTCTGGATTTATGTACATGATAGGGTTATTTTTAAATAAAATTTAAGATTTTACTGTTGTTTAAAATGATTAGCCTGGGAACACGAAGTGCCTGCTCAGTGTTGTAAACATGACACCTCTGTCCAGGTCCAGGGCATTTTACTCAGTGCTGTACCAGCGAGTGGTTCCTTCCCTCACCCCTGCACCTAGTCCCTGGGCACCACTCCTATTATATCCCTGTAATTCACCTACTCTATGTTTTTCACAGCAGTGCAGTCAGATTTCTCCCTGGCCACATAATCCGGGAAAGGGCTCATGAGTCTCAGAAGACAGTGGGCTAGGACACCACAGCCGCACTTCTCCTGGGTGAAGAAAAATCGTTCTCTAGATTTTGACTGAATTTTATTTTTAAAATATGAAATCTCAGAGCATCCTGGACACCAGGGGCTCAAGGTTCCAAGGGATGATTGGTCCAATTTTGCCCGATGGACACTGCAAGACTCTTGACCTAGGTACTATACAAATCAGTAATTGGTTTTTATACTGGGGGTTGAACCTAGGACTTTCTCAGTGAGCTACATCACCAGCTCATTTAAATTTTGATTTTAGTTTTGTCACAGAATCTCACTAAGTAGCTGACTTACCCAGCCAGGACTCAAACTTCTGATGTGTTTGCTTTAGCCTCCCAGGGACTGTACTAATCCCTCAGTCCTGGGATTACAGATCTGCACCACCTCAACTGGCTTCTCTAAGGATTTTTGAAACACAAACTCCAAAATGGACCTCTATGCCTGAGTTTCCACCTTTAGAACTTGAGGTAGTTTGGTATCTCTGGTGAGGAGTGTGGACTCCACCAGCAGGGTGCATCTCCGTGAGAGACCAGTGAATCTCAGTGTAACCATCATTCTAGTGCCGCCCAGTCTGGGTGGTGACTGCAGGCTCTGCCCTGACCTCCCTCCCACACTGCCTTGATGTGCTGAGACCCCACTTCTTTCCACCTTTCAGCAGGGCCAGCTGGGCAGTGACCAGGACAAGCCTGTCAGTCTCCACGAATATCCCACAGCTCATGACCTGCACTGGGTGGTCCTAGGCCCCCTCCCTGACTGCACACACTCTCCCCCTCCCTGTCCTGGCCAGATGTTGCTGGGCTCTCACACTGTGCACAGCTACTAACTGCACTTGCCATGAAGAAAGGATCATCCAGACAGAGTCTGGACCCGAGGTGGAAATGCCTGTTGACAGGGACTGTCTGCTCCATAGAAGCGACTTTGAGAGCAATCTATGCTCTATAGATTGCACCATAATACATCCAAGTATGGCCCAATTTCCATTTTACACATTAGATGTACCAACTTCACCATGAATTAAATCATCATGTACTGCAATTGTGTACTAATAAAACTCATGTAACAAATTACAAACATTACAATTTTATTATATTAAATTTAAAATATTCAAATTATAAACAAAAAAGAGAAGTGAAATTTTGACAAATGCAAAAAAATAGGATAAGCAAGTCAAGCAAAGCCAGATAGACTCAGACCCTCTACCTGGCAGGCAAGGGTCCTTCAGGCAGATGCAACCCTGATGCACAGAGCCGCCTCTGTCCTGAAGCTACACACAGGCTGATAGGATCTCTGTGGCTAATGCTGCTGTCATAGGAATGTGCAATGTCACAGCACTTTGCTCTGTGCACAGCCCAGTGCAGACACAAGGAAAGCGTGCTGTGTGCTGACTGCCAGAGATCCCCAGCATCAGCTCATCCTAGGGGGACACAAGGAACAGTCACTCCCAACACCCAGTAAGGACTGAGTAACGGAATAGAAAGTGAACACAGCACTCAGGCAAATCTCCTCAAGGAGGCCTCAGTCTCCCACACCTGCCTTTGGACCTCTGCTCAAGCCCCCGATCCTCAGTTCTAGTAGTGTGGCCGGAACTGCCATCTCCTCTGGTCCCAGGATTCAGGCTCTGAGGTCAGCCTGGAAGTGACAGTTGGATATGCACCTCCCTCTACACTTGCTCTCTCAAAGAAAGGTCTTGGTCTTTCTCCACCTTACACCCTCCCCAGGGGTCTTTGAAAATTGTGCTGGTGTGAAGAGGGCTGGGTGGGAGAGGGTTAGTAAGGGCTTTCAAATATACTTATCTAACTTATCTAACTTATCTAAATATACTCTGCTGCACACATCAAGATCCCAGCATCAGTGTGGCCTAGGAGGGAAATACATGGGTGGCTTCCCCACTCAACAGTCCCTCAGAACACTACCCACTCCCACCCCAGTGGCCTTAACAACCTCACAAGCACCCTGTGTTTTGAGAGCTATACACTGTGACTCTGCCACCGGTGGGCAGGCAGGGGAGGAACCAGGGGCAGCCTGGCAACTACCTGGCCTTTAACAAAAGGAAAGGAAGACAGCTTCAGGAGTCTTCCTCACCTGAGGCCCAAGAGCTGGGGAAGAGGCACATCCCATGGGTGCATTATACACAAGGGTCCCCTGGGACCTCCTGGCCCAGCTGGTGTCCAGATCCTAAGGACCCAGGGACAAGCCAGCAGCAAGCCATGACATCACCTCCAGGCCCCATAACACAGACAGACAATGGCTGGCAAAGGGAGGATCAGGTCTTGGGCCCGGGACAGGGATGGGTGGCCCTACTGGGGAACCTTGTGTCCCATGACCTAAGTGGGCTGGTGCACCTTTATTTAACTTTCTGCCAATGTGGTCCAGACCTGAAGGCCCAGCTGCATGCTCTGGCACACCCTCCAGGGCTCCTTGGCCAGGTGCAATTCTGCCTGTCCCCCATGTATGTCCCCCATACATGCTCAGTGCCCACCTGGATCCGGCCAGCCAGGAAGATCCACACTCATCTCCCAAATATCCAGGTAAGCCCAACTCACACAGGGACCCAAAGCTTGGGCCAGGCCCTGGGATGCTCTACAGCTTGACCTAAAGACTTGGTTTTGACCACCAAGTCCTCTGAGAGCATCTGGTCCTGAATGCTGCCTGAGGCCATGATATGCCAAGAACAGGGCTTCCTGCTACCCTCAACCCCAGATCCTGTACGAAGAGCACCAGCCTGTTGGTTCAAGGTTGCTCTGGATGTCAACAGATCAGCCATTCCTGGACTACTGGCTTCTCCCTGGGCCAAGAAGGGACTGGGAGCACAGAGTAGTCCCCAAGCCAGCCATGTGCAGCACAAGGCCAGCTGGGTCGGTGGCAGGGAAAAAGGAGGACAGGGACAGGAGGAGAGATAGATGGATGACAAAGGCATGGGAAACAAAGGAAGAGAAGTAGAAAAAGGCACCGCAGTGATGCGACCCTGATTTTTCCACTCACTACACCTGCTGGGTGACAGCAGAGGCCAGGGACTCTGGACTTTGGGCAGCTTCACACACAGCATCTCCTCTCATCATCCCATCACAGGGCCTGGGGGTCTTGGGAGAACAAGGAAGAGACTCAGTACAGTAAGTCAGGCAGAGGAAGAACAAAGGAAGCATAGTAGAGGAGTGTGTACTGGGAAGGTGGTTGTGGGACACAGTCTGTGGTTTCCCACGTGCCCCACTGGGCTCCCAGGCACACCTTGTGCCCACTGGCCCCCCATTCAGGCTCAGTGACAGCAGGCAAGGATCCTCCTTGATCATCATGAGAGGCCCCCACACACACACAGACCCTGGAGCCCTAACACCTCAGAGAAGCTCTGTGCCCTCTGTGGGTCCCACAACACCTGCTCCTGCCCTTGCGCTCGACACCCCTCATGCTGCTCAGCACCTGCAGTGCTAGTGACCTATGCTTATTATTCCTACCCATGTTGTTGGAAGCAGATATGAAGCTGCCAACTTAATGTTACATTTTGACAGAATGTTACTTCCAAAGGTTATGCCACAACAGTCACAGATTCGGGTTAAAATCCCAGCAATGGAAATTACTAAAATTTTAATCATAACAACATTTTGTATTCATCACTTACTATGATCCAAGCACTATGCAAAGTATTTCTATTAATTACTTCTTTTATCTTCATAATAAATCTGCTAGCTTGGCCTTATTAATATTTGCATTTTACAAATGAGAAAACTGAACCATACAGTAGTTCAAAAATTTCCTCAAGAGTATATGAACAGTAAATTTTCAGAAATTTACTTAATCACTCTGGATTCTCTTACTCCACATCTATCACAGAGGGGATAAC